CATTTATATAGTGCTCTGTGAACACAAATTAGTTAGCTTGTTTGTTTGTTATGGAATTTCGCGCAAAAGCTACACGAGGGCTATCTGCGCTAGCCGTCCCTAATTTAGCAGTGTAAGACTAGAGGGAAGGCAGCTAGTCATCACCACCCACCGCCAACTCTTGGGCTACTCTTTTACCAACGAATAGTGCGATTCGGCTTTTGGTCTTGCAATGATAGATTTCCCGCCTTTACTTGTTGTAGTATCTTGTACCAACATGAAATCTTCAGTTTTGTTTCATAATCGTCAAACATTTTAATTAAAGATGTGGCTTCTATTCTCGTGTTAATTTTCTGTGTTGGAGTTTCACTAATTTTTAAAAGAGCTTCCTCGATATTGCAAAAATTGTTTTTAAAAGAATAAACAACGTTTGGCTTTTGCGAACCACCTGGTGTCGCATACTTTCCCTATACAACCGTAAGAATGTTCCATCTTTGTGTAGAAGCAGAGAAAAATACAAATAAGTCTTGAACAAAATTAAAAAATAAAAACGTTTCAGAACATAATTGACCGACTAGAATGGCTAGCACAAGGTTTAAATAAGGCTGATGCTGTTTGTTTTTTAATTCTTGCTTTAAGTCCGCCCGGCATGGCCAGATGGTTAGGGCACTCGACTCGCAATCTGTGGGTCGCGGGTTCGAATCCTCGTCACATCAAACATGCTCGCCCTTTCAGCCGTGGGGGGCCTTATAATGTAACGGTCAATCCCACTATTCGTTGGTAAAAGAGTAGCCCAAGAGTTGGCGGTGGGTGGTGATGACTAGCTGCCTTCCCTCTAGTCTTACACTGCTAGATTAGGGACGGCTAGCGCAGATAGCCCTCGTGTAGTCAACATTTCACATTATGTTAACCTATTGCAAAAAATAAAAAAGGAAAAGAGTTAAAAGCTAATTTAAACTTTTGTTCTGAGGTTAGGTTTTTAAAACTACATTTTTGTTTATTAAATATTCAAACAACTTTTTATCCCTCGTGAGAAGAAAAATGAGACTTTGATCTTAAATTATACATATAATCCAATAGTACTTTTAAACGTCACTTCCTGCCTATATCTCTGAATCCTAATCCAATAGTACATTTAAACGTCACTTCCTGCCTATAGCTCTGAATCCTAATCCAATAGTACGTTTAAACGTCACTTCCTGCC